ATACCAATTGCATTTGTTCAGTTAATAAAGAACAATTATGAAACTAAACCAACAATTAGTTTACCGAGCATCAATCTCAATGGACTAAATTTAACACACAATAAATACAACAACAAATTTTTAAGACAACATTTAATAAAAACAATATATTCTGGTCAGGTAAGAAGAAAGTTTCACGATTTCTATGATAAGAAGGAAAGAATAAAAATAATGACAACATATCTGGGTTTCCCTCTTCCACCTAAATATAAAGAATTACATTTCAAAACTCTAAATAATATTTATCCTTCTAACGAGTTTATCAGAAATAGATTTAAATTTGAATGTGATAACTGTTATATATGTAACGAACCTGAAACAACAGAACATTTATTTTATTTCTGTCTTTCTGTGAACACATTATGGAAATCCCTTCACGATCTCCTGACCATCAAATCTATGAACATAGACTCCTTCTTCGTTCAGAATATATTATATGGATATGTATCTGAAAATAAAAAAGATGAATACTTTGTCAATAACATTATCATAATATTGAAATTCTATATACATAAATGCAGATATGGCAAGTCTAAACCATTATGGTCTGTATTCAAACAAGAACTCCAGTTGTTAAAACTTTCATTAGACAGTGCTAAAAAACCACAAGCAAAAAAGCTCTCTGATCACCTCGCTCAGATAATATAGCCCTCTGACAAATTATTTTAGTAATTATGTAGATTCTTAGATAAATAGTTAGTTGTTTAATTTACTGTACTATATTATTTGCAAACTCTCAAATAGTATTATTACCTAATTTTTAAGTTTATGATGGTTGATATGATAATTCGTTTTAGAATATGTTGACCTTAGGAGGTATGATTGTAGATATTTGTATATGTTTATATGTATCATTGTAATTTGAGATTGTCATTTGTTGTTCTATTTGTGTTCTTTTGTTCTGTATGTTCAGTAGTTCAATAAAGTTAAAAAAAAAAGTTCAATTCAATTCAAAAATACTTTATTAGTCCCAAAGGGAAATTAAATGTTGTTGTAACTCGTTATCCTTGTATCATTAAGAGATGTTATAGATACTGATGGCTGTAGGCAGGAAGGATCTCTTGTAAAAGTCCGTCCCACAGCGGATCTGAAGAAACTGGCCGCAGATGCCATCCGATTCGGCCACCCAGACTTGGTTGGCCTCTCGGTTCCCCCGGGCTGCGAGATTGCCCAAATGCTGGGCAGTACTCCTCCGGGAGCAATGGTCACAACTCCCAGCAGCCTGCTGAGCTCCTCATTGCTGCGGACAGCCAGCTGCAGGTGCCGGGGGATGATCCCGGTCCATCTGTTGTCACAAGCCATGTTTTCTGCCAGCTCCAGGATCTCAGTGGTCAGACACTCGAGCACAGTCGGCAGGTAGATGGGAATGCATCCACGGTGCCTCCTTTTCAACTCATTTGGGATTTGGGGCTGTAGCTGAGATATTATTTGAGCTTTTAAGATGTTACTCAGCTGCTTCCGGTTTAAAGATGAAAATGTACCAGTGGGAGAGTCTGCATGAAGTTAATGATGACCAGTTAACCAGTGAATACAGGGTGCAGTGGTGGGTACGGTAGTTACAGCCAGTTATGAATCTTAACGCACCGTAATGGAAGTGAAAAAGTCATTGTGAAAAGATAAGCTATGCGTCTCAACACATTGAAGTGACAACATGGTCTGTGGGACCACTTTATCTCAGAAGCAACCAACACCATCCATCCATCCATTATCTGTATGCTTTTTCCTTTGTGGGACGTGAGGGTCACTGGTGCCCATGTCCAGCAGTCACTGAGCAAGAGGTGGACTGGGACAATGGGACACCCTGAACAGGTCTCCAGTCCTTCACAATGACACATAGAGACAAACGAGACAAACAACCATTCACTCTCTCACTCACACCTAGGGACAATTTAGAGTTACCAGTCAGCCTAACATGCATGTTTTGGGTCTGAGGGAGGGAACTGGAGTACACGGAGAAAACCTACTAATGCACAGAGAGAACATGCAAACTCCACCCAGAAAGGTCCCAAGCCAGGATTTGAACTAGTAGTGTGTGATACTGCAAAATTTGGTATTGATCGATACCAAATAAATACAGTTCCAGTATCGCCGATAATGTATGATACTTTAAAATAATTACGGTGAATTTTGATGACGTTTAAGTGTTTTGTGATTTTTCCTTCAGAACATTTATTAGTTAAAACCCAGGATAGAATTAGGCAAAGTTTATAAGTAAACAAAAAAATACTTTATTATAATATAAGTTTTTTTCTGAAAAAATAGAAGAGTAACAAAAAAATTTCCTCGTACCTTGTGATGGCTGGATTTATTCCTTAAACAAAATGCACAAAATGATAACTCAAGAACAAATTAAAACATTGTGTTCTGAAACTATAACAATTAAATAAAAATATATCCCTTCATTGCACTCCTTTTCTGGATTCTTTCTCTTAAATAAGCAAACACACCACAACAAATGTTATAAAACAGTAAAATATATTTAGGATATAAAGGAATAAATGAAAATTTCACCTCTTAAGTGTATTTCTTTTCTGGGTTTGAAAAAATAAGTACAAATCAAAAATAATTTGTGAAAATACAATAAAAAAAGTGTAAATAACAAAACAACCTCCAAAGCCTTAAGTTCAAAGAAATATTCCCAGAAGCCTCTTTTTGGGCCCTGCTGCTCTGTGCTGTGACAGTCGGCTCACGTCTTTGATGAAACGGCAGCAGTGCATACAGGAGAGAAACTGAAGCTAAAGTATCGATCTCATTACACTGGTATTGATCAATATCAATACCCATGTTGGTATTGCTATTATTGATATTTGGATCGATTCGCCCACCACTAATTTGAACCGGCGACCTTCTTGCTGAGAGGCAACAGCTCTACCAACTGAGCTACCGTGCTGCCCAACCAACACTGAACACATTTGTTATCGAGGGAAGATGACAATGTGAGGCAGAAATCCGCCACACATTTGTTGCTCCGAGTTGACACAGCTGAGTTCTGCTCCACGCCTCCTTGGCTTGTCTATGATTTACGCAGTAGCATGAAGATGAACCGGTCTGAGCAGCTGTTTTGCGTAACTGTTCTACAACAGAGCGTTAGCATTTTACACTCTGCCTCTGTGTCTCCAAACTAGGCTCATCCATCTGCAACAGGTAAGATGTTTATTGTTCAGCGTGACCTCTCCACAAAAGCCCTCTGTGCCTTTAACCTTTTGATGCACAACATGGGTCAAAAATGACCTGCAGTAATTTTCCAGGTTATTTCATGCTGACTGAGTTTTTCTTTGCTCTATCTTTTGAAATCAATTAATTTTATGATTGAATATTCCAAGTATTCTTTAAATGTCTTGTTTTTAATTACCACAGATCATTAATTTATTATTTTATTTCCTTCTTTGTGAACAAAAATACTTTTTATATTACTATGCATGGGTCATCCAAGTGTCATTTAAAATTAAATGTCTTAATAATATAATAAAAGATTGTTTCAAGTAATTACTTTAGCAGTGAATGGGCCCAAACAGTTAGTTATTTAACATTTGCAACATGTTTATCATTTTGTCACACATACAGTACACATACCTCCTGATAACAGATAACAGCTGTTGAACTGAACTTTATCTGTGGCTTAACAATTGTAAACTGGTGAAATGTGACCAAACAAAATAAAACACAATTGAACACATCACTCGAACACAAACTGCCATCTCAATTTTTACGTGTCTCACAAATGATCAGTAAGTGTTTGTGCTCCTTGTACACAGGGCTGGTGCACTGGGAACACCAGGTGATGGCTTTTCTGTCTTTTGAAATTGGGCAGCTCGTGCACCTCTTCCTCTTCCTTCGGCCCTCCTGTATGATGTCCTCGTGTAGCTGAGTGGTGGTTGTTTTGGTTTTTTAACCCACACCTTCCCATTGCTTCAATAATATGCTTCTGGAGTTTGGGTGTGTCCTCCATGCACCTCTTCATATGTAGCATGACAAGCTCTTTGCCCAGCTCCTTGCACCACCCAAATGATCAGGGTGTTGTGCATTAAAGTTGGTGTAGGCACTGAGTGTGGCAACATACAGCATGTTGTACCAGAGAACCATGGGCCACCCCCTTGTTCTTTGCAGACATTTGTATTTGCTAACCATTTGATCCATTGAATCCACTCCTCCTTTCGTTTTATTGTAGTACTGGATCACTTCTGGTTTCTTCTTCTGACTGCTGTTATCCACTTCTTTGTCATCATGCACGGTGCTCAGCAGGATGGCAGCCTTTCCCTTCTTCTGCACATAGCTCACTATGGTCATGTTGCCATGGAATCCAAATTCCGAGCTATGAAGCTCCAGTGATTTGGACTGCTTCATGATGGGTGGTAAGTCAGGCTTGTTCTGGCGAAGAGTCCCAACAATGGTCAGGTTGTTCTTGAGGAGCTTCTCAGCCAGAGGGACACTGGTGAAAGAGTTGTTCTCACCAAATGCTGCAGTAAATGTATGTGTGCCGTTTCTGACCCATGTAAACTTGATGTACAAAAGCTGTGCTTGTTCATAACTTAAGAATTGAAAAATAAAAATGATGATTTGTTCTAAACAAAAACAAGATATTTACTTCGTATTTGGAAAAGTAAATGATAAAATTAATTTATTTCAAAAGTACACCATAGAAACACTCAACATTAACCTGGAAAATGAATGCGGGTCGTATTTGACCCATATTGTGCATTAGAAGGGCAGTGATACAAAAAGGTTTTTATTCAAAAAGTAAAAAAAAGGGAAAAAATTAAATAAGGATGTATGATGATCAAAAACAAGTTAACTGAGGAATACCTTAATACTGAATAATGAAATGAATTTATTGAAAATATATAGAAGATAAAAACTCAGCCGGTCACCGGGTCATGTTTGACATCAAAGGGTTAATTGGCACGCCTCGTGATGAGGCTCGATTCGGATCAGCCTGCCCCCTGTGTACTCAGAGTGAAAGTGAAAGAATGAGCTGTGACCCAGCAGAACCAGACGCGCGCACAGGACGAGCTTGTAGGTAAGTTTCTGCGCTTTCTTGTCACGATCCGTTGCGGTCGGACGTTCGGGTCCAGAACCCGCTGACACCCGAACCAGGTGCGTCCGGTGTGTCTTTTGGACCTGTGCTGGTTTTGGTTTCAGGGTTCGGTTTGACCCGTTTGGGCAGCGCCATGTTCATCCTAATCAAATCTTCGAGTTCCGACTCAAGTTTCTAAACGAACCTGGTGTGAGGCGGACTAGAACCGGACTTGGGTTTTCAATCAGGAGTGGGTCATAGTTCCGCCGGTACCTGGGTCCAGGTAGACTTCCTGACCCACAGCGAGGCGTCTGGGTCTATAACAGACATGTGTGTCCTTTAATCCTGAAATAAAAAGTGTGCGGAACCAAAGAACGCGCTAGAACCGAGACTAGCAAATGCTGGCCCGCGGGCGGTATTCAGTCCCACATGGGGCCGTTTGAAGTTGGTGGGGGGCGGTGCTTAAAAATCTAGAAAACATCCAGTTAAAGTGTACAAATTACTGCTTATAAAACTTATAACATTATGAAACTCAAAGTGTGTAATAAATTTGTATCATCGGGATGTTTGTGTAAAGAAGAGCAAAGGTTTTACCTCCTCAGAGTAAAATTTAAATTCTGCACATGCAGCTCACGTTTCCTTTCTCAGTGGAAAAATATTCAAATATCTGATTATGAAATAATGTAAGACGTGACAATTAAAATTATGCTACTTTCAAAGATTTTTTAATATAAATTAAAATAAAAGCAGATACCTTGATTTATCGTAAACTTTAAATATGGTTTTATTTAAAGTTATCGTTTACTTCTCATGCTTATTATCAGCTAGACTTGCCATATTTTTAAGTTTGTTTCTTATTTATTATGTTTCTTACATTCATGAGTTATACAGTAATCTGTGATATGTTTGTAAATCTGCACTTTGTGTTTTTCTCAGTGACTTTCCTTAAAGGTGTCAAAACATTAAAGTTTCAACATCAGAGCAATGCTGCATGTGTATCATTAATTTAAATTATTTATCCCAGATGTAGCAGCACGAGGCTTAATCTTTATTTCCTTAAAGTGGATGTAAAGTTTTGACCGACGTGTGTGCTATATCCCATAATGCATCTGTTCAGACTTGTCGTCTTCTAAATCAGGGAGCAGATTTAGTGGTTAAAACATACAGTTTGTAAAATAAATAAATAAATTCCAGAGTCTTGAACTTTTTACTTCTTCACTTTCACTTTGATGTACACAAATCATAAAATGGATCGGAGAGATTTGAACTGATGACAAACAGCTGCACAGAAAAATAAAAAATACAGAATTTTGAACCTTTGTTCTCACTGAAAATAAGGATTAATCCAAAACTTCTGTACTGAGGCAGCTGGCTTTTTAATGCACTTGTTCTTTTCTAAAACTGCCTGCTTTGCTTATCTTACAAAAATCTGGAGCTAAGAGGACGATGAGTAAAAGATTACTTGGATCGCACCGCCTTCTGACCCTACATGTCGAGAGAGAGCAACAATCACATGATCGCAGCAGTATTTTGTTGTGTAGGAGGACACTTAATAAATCAAATGTAACTGGAGAAATTGCATTTCCTGCAAAAATGCAGTATGAATGCTTATTGCTGAAGAACTTGCTGAAAAACAGCTGAAATTAGCTAAAAGCTTGCTGAAATGGAAGAACAAGCCTACAGAAGGAAGAACACACATTTGCTGGATTTGGTTTAAATAAGCAGAAACGAGCACAAAGATAAGTAAATTTGCTAAATAAAAAAAAAAGGAAGAAGATGAAATTAGCAACAAACGGCTGAAAAGTAGCTGAAAAACAGAAAGAAGCTGCAATTACCAGAAAGAAGTGGAGATAGCACGGTTCTGCTGAATTGTGCAGAAAAAAGTTTAAATGAGTGCAAAAAATGTGGAATTAGCTAAAAAAAAAAAAAAAGAGTTAAATTTAGCACAAGAACAGCTAAATAGTAGCAGAAATATTCAAAAAACAAACAAGCAAAAAAAAACAAGAAAAAAAAACTGAGAATCTTCACCAACAGTTGCAGAAATAGTTTAAACTTGCAGAAATAAGCTGAAAGGAGCAAAACAAGCTGAAATTAACAGAAAGAAGTTAGAAGACACACAAAAATGTGAAAGTTAGCAGAAAGAATCTGAAAGGAGAACAAAACAGATGGAAAAAAACTGCTGAAAGTAGCTGAATTTTTTCTTGAATTTGCAGAAGGAAGCTGAAAGAAGCTGAATCAGAACAAAATGTGAAAGGAGCAGTGAAAGGCTGTAAACAGATTTAAATATTTGAATGATGTAAAATTAGCTCAATTCGTTTCAAATGAGAAAAAAAAAGTGTCAGAAAAGGCTAAAATAGCCAAAGTTGCACCAATACCAAAAGTTATAGCAGGATTGTCCTGAAATAGCTGAACATTTTGATTTATGATTTGTTGAAATAGCTTGAAAACTGAGAGACGAGAATCGTGCTGAAAAACGTATGAAAGAAAAATGGATCATAATGGAGTGAATGCTTCATAAACATTCACACAATAAAGTGATCGGGTCAGCGCCGAGACAATGACAACACCGCCATGTTCTGGAAGACACTCTCATGTTGGTGCCCTTCAGCGTGCAGCTGCAGGCTCTGGATTATTTCAACGCCTTTTTTCTATCAGAAACAGGCAAAGAGGAAGTTTGGCTTGTCTATGCTGATGGGGACTGCCATTCTAATGTTTGCTTCATCCAGTTGTCAAAGGATTTCCATTTTGAACGCATGTCTCATCAAAAAGCCCCGAGTCGATCACAGAGCAGAGGCCTGTTGCTACTCTGTTGGTGAAATAGTGACAAACGAAACCCTTTCTTCACCAGCAGGTGTTGATTCAGTCACTGTTTAATGTTCAGTGTTTAATCAGTGGTTAATGTGGACAAAGCTCTAAAACAAAAGATTGGTCATCAACAGAGTCAGCTCAACTGAACATGGACAAAATATCCACGACATAAAAACTCCCACCACCAGAAAGAATGTGTCGCACTTTCTGTTTCACAATGACTATTAAAATAAATAGTCCAGTGAGCTACAGGTCAGACCAGTTGTCATCAGCTATCTTCACTACATGAGAAAATACCCGCAGAAGCAAACGTGTTATACGACTTCAAAAAAATGAGCATGAAACAAATCCAAATGTTTTTCCTTTCTCTTGTTCTGCTTGTTTTACATGATTTACTGTATGTCTGTGTCCCTGAACACCTCTCAGGAAATGTTTGTCCCCTTTAAGAAAATCTGCATCTGGAGTGGATTTGTCTCTAAAAGTAAACATTCTCTTCCTCTTTTTGTTCAGTCCTGATGAACTGTGAACTGAAAGGATTAGGGATGCATGATATTGGATTTTTGGCTGATATATCCGATATGCTAAAACTTATTTTGGCCGATAACGGATACGAATACCGATTTTATTTTTATTTTTTTTCTAAACCTATTTACAGACACTGCATAGTTTCTCTGCTGTGGAATTAAAATACTGCATTATTCTGCATGGTTTTTGTCAGTTTGGCTTCTCCCAAATGCAGATGCCAAAAAAGGGACTGAAAATGATGCAACACTTCAACTAGGATTATGTTCAACGTCAAATTTATTCATGACATACTCTCATGATTTACTCTCTCTAACACAGTGACAACATTCAAACAGTGCAAATGTGTAAATTTTCACAAATCTAAACTCAAAGGCGCGTGTGATATTATTACGTTGTGCTGGCACTGCAGGCATCCTTGTCACTGGTTTGTCATACAAAAACAGTGCCATATATATATAATATAAACAGAGCCTTTTATATCGGTGAGTTATTTTGATGGAATGGCTGATGCCCGATATTTAACTTTATCGCTAATATCACCATGCCGGTTATATTGTGCATCCCTAGATATGATATTGTGTTGTAGTCACCTTATTCCTAGCCCCATGCTGCCTTGCGTGAATTATGGGTGCAACTCCAGCATGGACCAGAACCAGCACTTGTTTATGTGTGAACAGTACGAGCTAATGTAGTTTCTCCAAGCATTGTGGATTTAATTTAATGTAGGAACACCAGCTGTCAGAGCTCAAACAGGACAATATAATCATAGCACTGCCTGCTGCAGACGAGGGATGGAGGACCTGAAAAAGTGGCTGCAGATTACATCTACTTGTATATTTAGTTACTCCACTGACTCGGTTGCTTCCGACAGTGAAATGATGAACAACCTGAAAAGCTCTGAGGTGTATTAGTATCTACACGGTAATAAGGTCAGTCGTGTTTTGTTAAAAGATGTGGGACACGATCTTATTGACCTTAAAGCAGACACAGAGCCCAGCCAAAGCCTTAAAGTCCTCATCACAGAGTTTGGGTTAATTGCAGACAAAATTGTAATAGTGAAGATGAACAAATATTTTACATTTAAAATAACATCTTGGGGGGCCAGAAAAGATGTCAACAAGGGCCACATTTGGCCCCCAGGCCTTGAGTTTGACACATATGGTAGAGCATTGACAGATTGAGCTACACTTCTGTCAATGTTTTCTCCAGAAAAATCTTGTTTCCAGCTAGTTCTTAGAAGTACGAACTGCAGCAAGTCTATGTTCATAAGTAGCTGTAAGGGTTTCGTTTTACAATTATTAACAGATTAAATTGTCCTTCCGTGATCTGTCGTTCCCCTCACTTAACCTCCGGTCTTTAGCAAGCTGCTTGAATATGTGCATTGAATCTTTGTGACCAGTTGTTTGGAAAACAACAACACGGACGAGGACGAAAACACTTCCATGCAAGTTGGGACGTGTTTAAGATTTTTTGCCTCAGCAACAAAACTCAGATTGTACTCATCAAAGCTCCCGTTTGTAAGAACCTCTTTTAGAGATTTAATGGTTCAGAACACCTCAAATGACTAATAGCTGCTTGAGAACACATTATTCAGACCTGTTGACCCCGTTTCCAGTGAAAGTGAGTTCTTTTAAAGAAACAATCTAAAATATGTGACTACTTCAGTTTATTTTGGGTGAAGTTCATTCTCATGTTAGTTTTGGTGATTTCTCAGTCAATAACTGGGTCATAGGGAATGGATCTGGGCTTGTTGAGGATCATTTTCAGGGCCGTTGCACAAAAACACCCTGGACGGGTTTTTAAAAAGCTGTGGGGGAGGTGGAGCAGGTCGAAGGAGAATCTGAGTGATGTTTTGTTTGTGTTTTAAATATTTGATGCAGATTAATTGTCGGGGGGAGCACTTCCTGTTTTCAATAACTGTACTAAAAATGTATTCCTCATAAATATTTATCATTTGTCAGCCAGGCTGATTTGTTTAAACTCAAAGTAATTTTTATTTAAGGTGGTGTTTTGGCCATTTATAGTAGTGTTGTTCGATGCGACAGTTTCCTTTCCGATTCCGATACTGTTTAAAATCCAATCTAGTATCGGCGATGCCAATTCAATATTGATATTTTGTGCGAATACACCTAATTTGTCTGGTAAATTAAAAATAAAGCAGTGTATTTCAAATCAAAGCTTCATAATCAATCAATCAATCAATCTTTATTTATTTTAAACTCGGGAGTTTATTGAGGTATTGGCCTCATTTACAATATAGCTGAGCTTATACAGACTGTGACTGACTGAGCAGCATGCCACTGTACTTACACACAATACGCACTTACCCAGGTGAAAGAAAAAGTAGTTCCCACTAGGCCTGTCGCAGTAAACAATAAATCAGTTAATCGCTTGATAAATGAAAATCGTCAATCTCATTTTCATTTATTGGCTTTATCGTTTCTTCGTGTCTCTCTTTCTGAAGACACTGGATGACAAAAGGTTCAATTCCGGTGCTCTACACTGATTCCTTCTTTTCTCTTTAAAATCTGTTTTAACCTTCCAAAATCACATTTATTTGGATTGTTAAAAGCAGCTAAGCTGAGAAGCTAAGCTACGAGCTAAGCTAACAGGCCGACCTCGGGGAAAAAAAACCTCAGTCTTGTTGAAGCTCCAAAATTCACGGTTGACTTCGTGTAATAAGTTGTTTTTCTCTGCAAAAAGAAGCTGAGAACTTGTTTACTGATTTTTTTAAATTAAAAGCTTTGTGTGAAAAATGCTATATAAAGAGCTCAAACCACACATAGCATCTGCCATTTTGAGAACCGAAGAGAGACAGTCCATGTCACGTCAAGGGACCTCCCTCCCATTTTTCTTAGAAACATGCTGCTCGCTCCCTCACTATCCATCCTTCATTTCAGTCTTATACTGCCATCTGGTGGTTGAAAAAAGGTACTACTTTACATGCAAAACAAATTAACAAACATTTCTCCTTAAATTTGACAATAATTACTAATTATTGTCAAATTTCAAACAATATTATCGTTTATCGCAATAATTTCTGAGACAATTAATCGGCAAGCAAAATTTGTTATCGTGACAGGCCTAGTTGCGTATCATTTAGACAAGATCTCAGTAGTTTAATTACTTTCCACTATGTTCCTGTTAATAATATGCATTACCTGAAATGACTTGAAGTATCAAAAATATTGATAATTTGCATTTGGTATCGATATTTCAGTATCAGTCTGCACATCACTAATTTATAGGGGGGTTGTATAAAATATATGAATGGTTATTACCTTACGTGTTGTGGATAGCTGTTTATTCTCAGTTTGAGAAAATATTTTAATTTTGGTGGGCTTGATGAGCCAACAGCTAATTAGCAAGCAGTGTTAGCAACTAGCGCTGATAACTCAGTAATGTGTTTTTGAAGTCCCTCTTCTTATATAACCATTCATCAGGTTCTATGCTGAGTATGTGCTTGCTTGGAGCCCTTTGCACTTTGATTCAAAGATAAACGTGATCATATTGCTTCATGTAAACCAGTCTGCTGCATTAAAATAATAAATCTTGTCATTTCAGATAAAAAGACATGGCCTCCTGTGGTACCCGCCTCGGTTTTCTCTGTGTCTGTTTCCTTGCAGTAGAAGCAGATTGTGAGTTCAAATCAAATTTAAACTATGTTTCCTGACACAATAAGATTTTCTAATAGGAAATTCAATTCAATTCAGTTCAGTTTATTTATATAGCGTCAAATCACAACAAAGTTGTCTCAGGGCACTTTACAGAAACATTCACATACATAAAAGCCAATTAGTAAAGTTCCCTATCTAAGGAAATGACTCATAGGTCTTATTTAAAACACAGTTTCTCTATTTTTTGTTTTTCTTACAGCTTTTTTGGCCCTGGTCTGTGAAGCCCAAAATGTGGGACTCACGAACCATCAGTCAGTGCTCAACTGTGTCATCAAATCCAAACCAGGCATAACGGACGTAAATATTGACACCGTTGTTTGGAAGAAGACGGTAGATACGGGGGAACCCTTGCTACGTCTTAGGACAAATAAGTTGTACACACAGCCAGGCTACAGGTTTGCCGACCCCCTCTGGAACAAGAACAACATGAACGTATCCCTGCTCATCGCCAGCACCAAGGTGGCAAACGAGGGAGACTACACTGTCGAAGTTATGACAGACAGTGGGAACGCCGAGGGTAGAACAAAGCTCCAAGTGACAGGTGAGATTTACTGAGGCGTATTGTAAGAGGACAGTGTCTTTAATACTCTTTACGGAGGGAGTTTCCAGCCTTTTTTTGTGTTTTCATTTTCAGTTTTATTGTGACCACATAACCTCACCAGTTACCAAAAGAAGATTTAGCATTCATTTTCTAACTCTACTGTGCCGGCTACTCGTTTGACTCGTTTGCTTGTCAAAGCTTACAGTAATCAACTCGTTTTAAGACACTTTAGTGGCGTCATGTGATTGCTGTAATGATGTTCAGGTCTTTGATTGTGTTTTTTTTCTCTTTTTTTTGGTATTTGCAGCCAAATACAATAACCCAAGCATCAGCCTCATCAAAGAGAGCGATACTCCAAATTCAGACAAAGCTCTGGTTTGTAAGGCTCAGGGTGGCTACCCAGCAGGTCGACTTGGTTGGTTCGATGAAACCAAAACTGAGTGGACGAAAAGCGCCAAATTAGAGGTGAAGAAGATGGACACTGGTCTGTTTGAGCTCACAAGCAAGCTGCCTTTGCTGACAGGATCCACTTTCTCCATGTACATCTGTGCCGTGTACAACTCCAGTGAAGGCAAAGAGTGTGAGTCCTCATTTGCACTGGCAGGTAAGTTTTACTGAGCATCGAGCGCAACACTTTCTTGAAGGTCCATTAGGTACATTATTGGCTTACTATGCGTGCACGTGATAAGACGTGATTGGTTGACACAGCTTCAACTGGAAGGCAACAAAGACGTGTGACGCAGACTGAGTGACAGTCTGAGCATCTGAGTCCTTTAGCGTTAGCTTCAGCTAACTTTTTTCATGTTTAACGGGTTAGCGTTACTGAAGCTATTTTTTTTTTTGTTTGCAGTATATGTGCTAGTGAAGCTAACATTTTGGTTCACTGTGCCCACTGATACTTTCTGAAAGTTTCAGTAAAATCAGTCTTTTTGTTCATGAGATATTTTGCTGACAGCGATGACTCCAATAGTTACAGGCTAAGTTTAAACACAGATCTTGTGCAAAAAGACATTGTAGACAAACAAACTTGTAAAAATGTAAGCTGTTGTGAATGGGAAGAATTTATTTTCTCCACTAGACTACACTTTGGAATCATGATTAAATAAAATAAAATAATTAGCTCTTTGACTGCACGATTTCCAGGCTCAAGTTAGTAAATAAACAAGCAGCAACATGTTTCTGATCTGACATCGTTGTCTGTCAAAACATCAAACTGTTGGCACAAAGGTGAGACCTGATTGTGCGATGACGATAAGACGTGAATGCTTCATGGAAAGCCTGATTTATATCTTCTTAATGGAATAACTCAACAACTCTTAGCAGTTATCTGATCTGTCGTTTAAAATCTCACAGATCTGCTGTTCAATCATATGACAACTGGAGCAATAGTTGTACAAATGTTAATTGTCCATCAGATGTTATTCCTTGTAGATTCTAAAGGAACATCACAAGCAAACCTTTTCTAAAATCGTACTTACAAACTCTGTTGTTTTATGTCATTCTTTTTCTTCCCCATTTTTGAGGCGCTAGTGGCCTGTTTTTGTTGTAGAGGGTGGAGGCGAAATGGAGTGAGAGAGAGAGGGGGAGACCTTGCGGAAAAGTCGTTGGGACCAGGACTCATACCCGCGACTGCCGCTATGAGGACTAGCCTCGAACATGGGCCACGCTTTTAACCCCTGCGCCATAGCCACGGCCCTTTATGTCATTCTTTAAAGGATGTGAGTACTAACTGTTCTCTTTGCTTCATTGATATAGTGAGAGATGACGGCGAACATGGGGCTGGCTCTTCCAGAATCATTGCTCCTGTTGTGGTCATCGGATCGCTGATTGTGGGGTTGCTGCTCGCGCTGCTGATTTACAAATGGCGATCTATCCGTGAGTTTGTGTTCGACTTCTGCTCAGATTTATTGTTTCGCCTTTCCATGCAAAATGTGCTGTACTAACCCCTGAATACAAACTCCCAAAAGTACAAGAGAGCTCTATGAATCTTTTTAAACTGTCACAAATCATAATTTTAACTCCTATTTGTATGGATTTAAATGAGATCTCGATAAAATGATTTATGTGGTGCAATGCACTATTTATGCATAGTTGTAACTGGTTGAAAATGTTTAAGAGCAAATTTTGTTAAGTATACTATTATTTCTATGGTTATCCACTTCCACATGTTTACCATACACCATTAACTCATTTAATTAGTTTATTTTTTCTCTGGGTGATATGCTAATGTTAGCAGTGGCTTTGTCTCTCTGATAGTATTGCAACAACTTATTGAAAAAATGCTGACGCTCTGAGGTTTCATCACCTCCTTCCTGTTAACAATAAAAGTAATGAGGAAAGAAGTAGGTGGATTAACCAGATGAACCCTTCAGTCACCATTCAGGATTGGAAAGTCCCATTTATTGTCATGTAGTATGAAGCAACACGGAGACTAGGATTGGGAAAAAAACCACTTTTTATTTAGTGTGCCTAACATAGTTTCCTTTATGTGTGCTGAAAGCTGTCAGTAAATGAGTGAAACGGTAAATGTTTGCACTAATGTGTGTGTTCTCACTGTCGTGTTCCTCAACAGAGGCTCGGAGGCCTTCTTCCACGCCTTTTCTGAGTACGTCCATCTTGGACAAACTATTAATATTACTTATGCTCTTCTTCTCTAACCCAGTCTGAGAAACTAATAATAACTTACAGGTGGGACTAAAGGTTCTTTCTCTTTAGTTTTCCTATCAGACCTTCCTAAAGCTACTAAAACCCGACTGCTGAGATGTTCAAGAGGCATTGGATGATTTGGATGGATTTAGATAGTTAAAATGTGTGCTTGGACTTTTCTTTAGCCAGGTGTATGTAAACGCATCGGTCAGATTTTAGGACAAAACAAAACTAAAGTGTGACCACAGGCAGGTGTGTGAATGCTATGTTCAGCACTGACCAAGAATGTCTGCTGCACTGTGCCGGGCTTCTGTCTGTCAAAGGAAGTGATGTAGCACATCTTCCTGGTCGGTGGATTTTCTGTTGACTTAAGTCCTTACTTCCATATTGGGTTTAAGAACTTTTCACTGGGGATGTGTCTGTGCTTGCATGTGATTGCCTCCATGCGTTGATGGTTTCATATCCACCCGCCTGAACTATGACTTCTTACACAAGCTCATATTTTGTTTCAGGTCCACGCTGGTCAAGTCCCACAGGAGAGCCGGATGATGTGGGTCAGTATGCTAACTACACTGAGATTAGACCAGTTCTATGAAACTAATGTTTAATAATGTTTTCGTTAATGATGTTTACAAGTGATTTTAATTATTTACCCATTCATTTCTGTCTGCAGATCATCAGAATTCGAACATAGTCTGAGGTAATTATAAAACACTCTAATGGGTGGGGGGGACTTATTGAGGAATGTTTTTTGTGCATACTAGTTATAAAAATTAAGGTCCTGTCTATGCTATGCCAAATATTTTAAAAACAGATATTGTTTCTCTTCATCTAATCTTTCTGAACAAATAACATTGAAGTACCCATGGTGCACCACTAGGTGGCGATAATTTCCACATTAGCAACACATCAGAGTCAGAGTCAGAGTTTCTTTATTGTCATTCGCACCTCATGTGGTACATGTGGTGGAGCGAAATTATGTACACAAGGTCCCAGTTACATCCAACAATAAAAGGTATAAGAAAAACAGTAATAACATCTAAGATATGAACTAAGAAAAACATCAACTAAATATACACTAAGCACTCACAACATAAAACATTGAACATCAGCACAAACATGAACATGAGTCTGTGAGCAGATGTGCACGCATGAACACATCAACATTGAAACAGATCAGCAGCAACATGAAACAGATCAGCAGCAACATGATATGGTTTTTCACAGTGATTATTCTAGTTAGAGATTCATGAGTCTAACAGCCTCAGGGTAGAAGCTGTTCCTCAGTCTAGTGGTTCTACACTTAATGCTCCTTAACCTCCTTCCTGAGGGGAGTGGGGCAAAAAGTGTGTGTGCTGGGTGAGTGGGGTCTTTCATGATGCAGGTGGCCCTCTTCCTGCATCTGGAGGTGTAGATGTCTGTGATCATCAAAACAAAACAACATATCTGAGATTTTCTTCCACTTTCAGCACACAATCAAAGGCAAGGATCAAAACAAGGCCAGACAGAAGAAAAAAAAAGTTGAAATTGTTTTGGTTTCAAGTTAGTGGAAACGTGCAAAACAGGCTGCTGCACCATCGATTCTAAAATCATAACGAGTCCAAATGGAAGCACCAAAAACAATGTTTTTAAGTTTTCATTTTGGAAAGCATTTTTAAAAACGTTGGCTACGTACTGTAACCCCAGATTTTATGAGTATAGGCTTCACCCTTTAAGGCTGTTGCTAGTGGGTTTATCCCCATGCGCCCAGCACTGAAAACTTTAGTCCACGCCAACCTGCTGTGTGGGCCCCATCCAGTCAGTATAAATTGTCTTGAGACCGGGGTTCAGCTCCCAAATAGCGTTCTTTTCTTCAGCTATTTAGGAGCTAGTGAGGCCCAATTCTTAAAGGTTATGCATATACTCATAGAATCTGGGGTTACAGTAGGTAACCAACGTTCCATTTTGTATAGGCTTCGCTGCTAGTGGGTTAAAGGCAAAGAAAGATGAATCTATGCCTCATTGGGTCTGTCCGGAACCACAGTCACAGATATCTGATTATATTGATGAACATGTTGAACCTTGGATCATGCGTAATTACGCACCGCCGAGTCTGTACAGTGAGTGTGCGCTCAATGGCAGATGCGTAGCCTCTGCCCCAGTCTGAAATTGGAATGTCAAATCTTGTTCCTGTTGCTAGGCGACAGGAAGGGGGAACATTTTTATATCAGTCTGGGATAGAATTGTCAGAAACACCTTCTGCTGGGAAGAACGAGCAGGTTGGAGAGTATAGTGTTGTCACTCAGACAGGACTCTGAGAACCGAGTGAGTCAGAGAGAAACTGGAGGCGTCACGTAGATTAAAGTGGATGAAAGGGATCGGTGAGGACCAAGAAGCCGCAGAACAGACGTCCTGCACAAATATTCCTCCTTGCAGAGCCTCGGCAGTTAAAATCCGTCTGGTAGAATGAGCCTTGAGCCTCACTCTCTTTGCTGAGGTCAGAGTTAACAGCTTTGAGATTTTTGTTAATGAAAAGTACGATACAAATTAAATTAATTATTATTATTATTATTTGATGTAAGGGTTCAAATGGTTCTTTAATCAGCGCATGGAGGACGAGGGCTAGATCCCATTGTGGGACAGAGGTGTGCGACACTGCTCTGTGTCTGCGCACGCCTTTCAAGAAACATTGCATTAGAGGATGGTTAAAAACCGTCCTGCTGTTAAAACCCTCATGACAGGAGAAGATGGTGTAGTGAACTAAGCCTCAGGTCAAGTCCTGACCCTGAGGGCCTTCCTGGAACAGGAACTGTTATTTCATTGATTTGTATCCAGAAATACAAATTAAGCTCATCCAGAGACTTTCTAATTGTATCCTGCACTAATCAATTGAAAGAACACTCTCTTTTTTATTATCATTACTATTTTACAATATCTTGATAATCAAAGTGTGTTTAGTTCAAACCATTTTAAATGTTGAAGTGAACTACTCATTTTAAATCAACTGTGAAACAGTATAAATGATTTTTAATCCTCATTCAAAGTAGAAATCAAGTTAATGTTTGTTACAAGAGTAATTATGCATTTCTTGATCTTCTGTCTGAAATGAGCAAGTTGTGATATCGGTCAAAAGTGAAGGAACGGTCAAAAACATGTTTATCGGAACGAAATGTCATGTTTAACTTTTTCAGATAGATAGAAGAAGACTGGCTCCAAAATGTCTCTGTTCTTCAAAACATCTTTCTGTCTGTTCTTAAACATCTACGCTTTCTCCTTGACTTTTAATGACCCTCTTATGTCACTAAGACCACACCCCTGTTGGTTCTTTCAACCAATCAGGAAGTTCTCAGAGGAACCGGAAGTGACCTCTTTAAAAGGGTCAACACTTCCTAGTTCCAAGCAGAACAAGAGTTCCAAGCTGAACAACGTTCCAGAGAGAACCAGAGTTCCAGGGAGAACCTCGAACGAGAAGTTCAGAAGAACAGAAGTTCGAGCAGTTTCTAATGGAATGACCAGAGTCCGTCGATGCCACGACGTCTCGCTGTGGCTACCCGACGAACGCTCTGAACAATGAAGAAGTCTGTTCTGTGATGATCTCACGACTCCTGAGGACACAGCTGTTCTTACGGAGACGCTGAAAAGAGTTGAAAGAAAAACTCTCAACCGAAGCCGAAACTATCGTCTGCAAGGTAAAGAGTCGATCTCAACTACTAGTGTACCGTGGGTTAAGCTGGGTCCAAAGGAGCGTGTTGTTTCTGGTTATAACAGACACATTCCCTCACCTATCTCTCTCCATTTAAACTTCATTTCCCATCTTTAAAACTCTTCTATCTGCCAGTAATTAATCCAGATATTTTCAGAAATGTCTGTTGTATTTCAGTTGCAAGTGAAAATCATGGCCGTATGATTTTCTCATTGTAAAGCTCATTAATTAAGCTGTGTTATTGTAATCAATCTGCCAATTATTGTAAATGTGTGATGTGTTTAAATCGTTTTTAATTAAACGGCTCACTGTTGTTGGTGAGTCAGAAATTTAAACACGTTTCCGTCTACATTTAATATTCAAAACGCGATATTACTCAGTCCAGAAAATTGAAAGAATCCGTTTAAATTATGAATAATATCAGACGCTTATTATTTCATTACAATGGTTGCAGTGTGCATTTTTATCGTGCTAAAAGCTAAGTTTCTGTCCATCAACAACTGCAGAAAGGATAATATGCAGCTTAATGGGCATGAGGCGGGGTCCACGCTTTTCTCAATACACCATCGCTGAAAAGCTGTCCACTTAGATGTGTAACAAGCTGTAGTGGAAGCCACGCGTGCTCCCTGAATTGTGCGCACCATGTCCTGAGAAAGATCCATTCTCTAGGTGCTCCCGTTCAGCAGCCAGACCCAGAGGCAAAGATCGAGAGGCAACATAAACTACAACATACTGTATACCGTTTATACGGCACTACAGCATAAACTACAGCATATACTACAAGATAAATTACAACATATACTACAACATACACAACATATACTACAACATACACAACATAAACTACAACATATACTACAACATATGCAACATAAACTACATAATATTCTATAGCCTAAACTACAACATATACAGCATATACTACAACATATACAACGTAAACTACATAATATATCCTGATGCATGCTCAATAATACAATACAATACATAATATACTACAGCCTAAACTACAACATATACAACATAAACTACAACATATACAATAACATACACAACATAAACTATAACATATGCAACATACTACAACACAACATATACTATTACAGATACTGGTACAACATAAACTACAACATATACAACAACATACACAACAAACTAAAACATATGCAACATACTACAACATATACTATTACATATACCAGTACAACATAAACTACAACATATACTATTACATATACCAGTACAACATAAACTACAACATATTCAACATAAACTAAAACATATGCAACATACTACAACGTATACTATTACATATACCAGTACAACATAAACTACAACATATACAACATAAACTACATCATATAACTACATCACTAACATAACTACATCATAACTCACTGTCATGTAGAAAAGGCAGACAGCACTGTGAGAGTCATGTTCTTTGATTTCTCCAGTGCATTTAACACAATCCAGCCTGATTTGCTTTGTCAGAAATTTCAGAAGACTCAGGTGGAGGCCTCAACAATCGCCTGGATCAGACTACCTGACGAACAGACCACAGTTTGTAAGACTGAAGCGTTGTGTGTCTGACCAGGTGGGCAGTAGCTCAGGAGCACCACAGGGGACTGTACTCACACCATTCCTTTTCACTCTGTACACCTCAGATTTCCAGTACAAAACAGACTCTTGTCCTCTGCAGAAATATTCTGATGACTCTGCAGTAGTCGGGTGTATCAGAGATGGACAAGAAGCTGAGTACAGGGAACTGGTGGACCGCTTTGTGGCATGGTGTGGAAACAATCATCTTATCTTGAATGTGAACAAAACAAAGGAGATGATTGTAGATTTCAGGAGAATCAGGAACAGGTCCAACCCTATTTCCATCATGGGAGAAGAAGTGGAGGTGGTGGAGAAGTATAAATACCTTGGGGTTCACCTGGACAACAGACTGGACTGGAAATGCAACAGTGAAGTTGTCTACAAGAAGGGACAGAGCAGACTGTACTTCTTGAGGAAG